GCTATTGTGCTGTATCACGCTATGCAATTTATATTTTGTCTAACCTGAATTATATATTAAATATATACATTATAATGCCTTATTATAGTTAATTGCTTTATGTTTTAATCTGGTCACAATAGGTAGAGTTGCACTAAGAAGTGATACTGCAATTAATTATGTGTTTTTACCATTAATAAGGCTCTACCTACCAAACCTATAGATACATATGCACGAGTAGTCGATAGATAATTCTGAATATGATCAGCTTGAGCTTTATATTATCGGCCAGAACTCTCAATAGATTTTCTATGAAAGGCACAAGCTTCTTATTTTGTATTTTGGAATGAAAGAAAACAGTATTATTGGTGGTAGAACAAATACTGTTGGGGATGAACACAAGCCAGCAATCGTCTAAACTATAGTCACGGATGAGCAAACATTCGATCCTCAATGATAAAGGTGGTATATTTCATCAACAAAACAAAGAATATTAGCTTTTTTCAGTTGATTGGTAGACAAAAAAAATCAATGGATGTAACAGTGTTCTGTGGACACAGTGGGTATACCTTTGGCCTTAGAAGCTTATATTGCTCCCTTTAGCGGAAATACCTAGAAGGTGATTTACATGATTGTTGGTCAGCCTCTAACGTCTTCTTGCTGAACATTTTGACTACTCGTACATGCAAATCCCCTCGGTTGCAAGATGTTTGAGGGGTTTTCCTGCATGTACTGCCCGTTTCAAATCCCCCTCCGCAACGTTTCAATGGGATTCAAATCTAAGCTTCGACTAGGTCATTGCATAACCCTCCAGTTCTTCTTTTGGAGCCATTCCTTGGTGGATTTGCTAATGTGCTTATAGAACCATTATCCTGCTGAAAGGTCCACTTCCGGGTTCAACTTTCAGAGGGATGGCCTCACATTACCTTCAAGGACTCTTTGGTATGATGCAGACTTCATGCCAGTCCTGGAAGTGGAGAAGCAAGCCCGACTAAAAAACATTTCTATCACCATGCTTCACAGGTGGTATGAGGTTTTTCTACTGAATCGCTGCCAAACATGTCTCCTATTGCTCTGGCCAAACAACTACAGCTTTGATTTGTCTGTCCAGAACATATTATTCCAGAAGGTCTGCTCTTTGCCCACACGGTCATTGGCAAACTGTAATTTTGTTCTAATGCTATTTCTGGATAGCAGAGTGTATTTTGCTGGCATGTTTCACATGCAATGCAATTTTGTGCCATCATTTTCTGATTGCAGATGCATACACTTTACCAGCAGCAGCTGCAGAGGTACCTGCAGGTGACAGCTTAGGCCATTTGGAGGCTTATTTTGGCATCAAGCGGTGGGAATTTTCTGGGGCAGCCAATTCGGGGCTAGGCTTTTTTTCTTACAGTGGAGTATCTTAAATAATTTCTTTTTAAATCCCTTTCCAGACACATAGCTAACCAGAGCTCTGTAGATCTTTGAAACACTTTGAAAGCAAACAGAACACCAGATTTAAGATTTCAGAGGTTCCACCTGTCGCTCCTTCAGAAGGTTCTAATCATCAGTACCTAATCTGGAAT